GATCAGCTATTAAAGAAGGTTTCAATTATTGTTAATCCAGTAGACCCTTTATAACAGTGGTCTGTAATTGAAATGAAATTATTTTACAGAGTTGTCTAATAATTTTACAGACTGAATTTGAATTTGAAAAAGTGTAATATGAGTAATCAAAAAAAGGTTGTATCATTATAATCATTTTTCAACAATTTATGTTCCTATCGAGGTTTACTGAGATAAAATAGTGGTTTTGGAAAACAACATGTTTTTAAATTCACAAAATAATAAAATATATATTAATTAAAACAAACACATTAAAAGCTCAAGGATTGAGATATTGTTTAATGAATCAACTTTGCAACCTGTTGCTCAAATTGTCATACTATAGTCCTACAAAAATTATAACCTTTGATAATAATATCTTATTCGAATCTCTGTTGAATTCCGATTGAATATGAGGAATGGACTTGTTTCTGATTGTAAATTACAAAATAAAGTGAAAATATTCTGGTGAGAGTATATTAATATCCAATATCTATCCCAAACCGCTTTTTTTGGATATGGCTTTTTAAAAAGGGCAATCTGGCTGAATTTTTACGGGCTTGGCTTTTTGGATAAATCTCGGATTGGATAATATTATTTGAAAATGTGTCGTGTTTGAGCAATTGTCAACAAGGAATGCAGGCAAATCACTCTACGAATATTTATTAGATTATTATCAATACTAATTGCAATAAATCAACAATTTTTCGATATAAATTTGGAATATTTTATTTTTGAAATAATTCATTTTTTAGTGGAAATTTCTTGACTTATTTTTGGATTTAGATTTTGGCTTTTTGGTTCAATTTGGCTTTTTGCCGATTTTTTATTCACCTATATCCAAAAACTGGTTTGGGATGGATTTTGGATATTAATATACTCTCATTCTGGTATGCTTAATAAGCAACCTCAATTCCGAGTTGTTAAAAATTTTCCATGCTCAAAAAATTATTCGAAATGTCTGGTAATAAAGATTTACATCCTTCAAAGCAGGTTCCAGGCTGTTTCACCATTAAGGTGGTTCAGCCCCTGAGCTTTAATACCCAATTGTCTAAATATTATTTGAACTTTATTTTGTGTGTTTACTATTGAAACACTAATTTTTTTCTTATCTTTACTAATACTATTGAGAATTGGTTAAAAAATCACATTCTAAAATATTAAGAGATGAAGAATCACTATTGGGCGAAAATCATTTAGAGAATGAGGGTTATTGTATTTGGGAATAGGTTATTTTTTGGATATTGGTGAATAAAAATCAACAAAAAGCCAAATTAAACATACTCTCTGCTGGATTTTCTATCTTCACATTAATACTTTATCTTCTAATGGATACAACATGTTTACTCGTATTTTAATTAATAATTAGGATTTATTGTTGTTACAAAATTTTGGAATTGATTACTTCTTTCTGTTGTGAGCAATATGAGCAGACACCAAGTGATCAGCAGCAAGAGCAGCCATGAGAGAAAGTTCTCCAGCCATTACAGTACTAGCAACACATTTGGCAAGGGTTTGAGCATTTTGACCTGGATTTTCTTGGTTTGCACCAGCAACACCAATAATCTTCAAACAAGTCTTTTGAGCATCCAAGTGAGTACCACCACCAACTGTACCTACTTCAATAGATGGCATTGTCACAGAGACATATAAATCACCATTATCAGTCTTTTCCATAATAGTCATACAATTCGAGCTTTCCACATTTTGGGCAGCATCTTGACCAGTAGCCAAAAAGATTGCTGTCACGATATTGGCAGCATGAGCGTTGAAACCACCAACAGAACCAGCCATAGCACTACCAATTAAATTCTTAGATATATTGAGACTGACAATTTCATCAACTGTAGTCTTAAGAACATTCTTCACAACATCCTTTGGAATGGTAGCATCAACAACAACGGATTTACCTCTACCTTCAATCCAATTCATTGCTGATGGCTTCTTATCTGTACAATAGTTACCACTCAAACTTAAAATGTCCATATCTTGGAAGTGTTCATTCTTCAAGAATTTAAGAGCCTTTTGTGTTGCTTTTGAAATCATGTTCATTCCCATAGCATCACCAGTTCGGCACTTGAATCTCAAGAATGCCTTTCTACCAGCAATACCAACTTTAACTTCCAACAATCTAGCAAAACGAGAATCACTGTTAAAAACTCTACATAATTCCTTGAAATTTTCTGGATTATCAATGAATTGTTTAAGCTCGTTACATCTCTTTGTGTTGGCAAATTGAACAACTGGACCTCTAGTCATTCCGTCGCTCAAAATGACGCTGTTTACACCTCCTTCAAAAGAACTGGAAAGGGCCTTGCAACCTCTGTGAGTACTGGCAACCAAACATCCTTCAACAGTAGCCATTGGAATATGATATGGCTTTCCATCAATAATAATTGGACCAACAATACCGACTGGCAATGGAACATATCCGACAACGCTTTCACAACAAGCTCCAAAAACTTGGTCGTAATTTAAATCATGAGCATA